TACTTCCCTCCTTCCTGTTCTGGGGGTTCGGGTCTCCCAGGTCATTGGCAAGGTCCTTTCTTTTAGTCTGTGGTTTTGATTTTATGTTAGGGCGCATGGAATCCGCCTCCTGGATCCTGCCCTCTTTTCCTTATCTGTGGTGAGGTAGCTCCAGGGAGCCAACGGGGTTTCCCCCAGAAAACCAGCGTTGAATATAATGAAACGTCATTTTTCTGGGCGAGTCCCGGAGGCTCCTCGGCATCCCTTCCTCCCTCCCAGTCAGCGGTGTTTTTCTCGCTTTTTGACATCCAGCCTGAGAACTGAAGGTTGGGTCGCCGGCGGATATGTCTGGGGCTCCCCCTTTTCCCTCCTGTGGAGGGGGGGGGGGGGGTGTACAGACAGCGGCGCGGCGACATGATGACGTCATGCTAGTTTGCTAATTTTTGATTGGGGAATTCTGTCCACTTGTTCGGCCTTCAGTCGCAATAGTTTTACCAGAATAGGGGTTTGTTTTGGGGCGCCAATCTTTCTGGGTGCCTATCCCGGTTGATGGCAGACATAGAATGCTCCCAACCACAGGGGGGTTCTCTATAGACCATTACTCCTCGTTCCTCTCTATAGGGGGCCAGGTTCTGGCTAGTGGTCCCCGGTAGGCAAGAACTCCATGCATTGACTGATGCCAGAAAGTTATATATATCCATTCAGCCTGGATAGCTCCGGGGAGCCTCCGGGACTCACCCAGAAAATGGCGTTTCATTACATTTAATGCTGGTTTTTTGCCAAAGCTCTACTACCTCCCTTGTGCAGAGGAGCTATATCTGCTGATTTAAGTGCTTCTGGTATCTTCCTTGTATCCAGGCTCTTTCTCCATATTACACTTGAGCGCTCGCACTACTGATACTTTACATTTCTTTATGAATATTGAATTCCTCGAGTCAGGACCAGGAGGTGAGTGCATGGGCATGTTGTCAATTTCTCTTTCAAAGTCGTCTGAGTTCATGTTAATATCTGTTATATTATCTGCATCTTGGATGTCATTCATAAAGAAGCTGTCTTGATCTTCAACTTTCATGTTGTTTATTGGTGTGTGTTGAACATAGCCTCATAGTCTTAGTCTTAGTCATAGTCTTAGAATTTCACTATGTAAATTTGTTGTTGTCCTCTGTGTACAACCTTCAGTTGTAATTAAAGATCCAATACTGGTGGAGGTTTTTATTTTGATTTTGCATATGTGAAAAAATATTTAGGATTTTGCTTTATCTCTTGTATAGCTTTCTCTTCCAATTCTTTTTCCTCAGGCTCATATGATCGCTTCAACATCTGCTCAATTTCTTCAATCTCCCTGTTTAGATTGATTTTCCCTTCTTGTGATAGTCGTGTTTGGTTTAAGCATTTTCATGATTTTTTCCTTCTCCTGTACAGTCGTCTGCATTCTCTTTCTAGAGTGGTCCTCTTTCTGACCCTCCTCACAAAGGCACATGATCTTGTATACTTCAGGTGTCAGTTGAGCTATTCCCTGTGTGGGGGTTTTGTTGCTAAGACTGTCTCCCACTAAATATTTGCAAGGCCTATATTTATTTTTTCCCAGTCGAACCCTCTCATGTTGAAATTGAATTGATTGAATAACCCTTCTCGCTTGTTGGTTTTCTTGGACCTACTACCGTTATTAATAATAGTTTGCACTTCAAGGAACTTATGGTCTGAGTACAGTATGTAGTATCTGAGATTGTAATGTCTCTGATTAGTTCATCATTGTTTGTGAATATCAGGACTAGTGTGTTTTTCGTTTCTAGTGGGTTCTTTAATATGTTGATTGAGTGAGAATTTGTCACAAAATCTAAAAAGTTTTCTCATCTGTGGTTGATTATTTCCAGGTTGGTGGAATTTTATTTCCACCAATTCGTTGCTGGAAAAAACAAATTTTCCCATAAGAAGTAATGTAAATTGAATTAATCCGTTCCACACTCTCAAAAATATTAACTTCGAAATACAATCTGTACATAATACACACACATTTTGTACTATATTATGTACAAGTTATAGCTTACCTTTATTGATAACCCTAGTTGTCATATGGAAGACGGTGAAGAGAGTGAGAGGAGGAGAGGTGTTAGTGTTTGGAAGAGCGAATCCCCCTTCCATTATAACACCGAGCAGTGGTGACTTCTCTGGGGTACTCTCTTACGTTTTGCAGGCATACCACTAGGACCTGGTTGTGGCTCACTGCTTGCTTGTCTTACTAAGAATCTGTCTAAAGACACTTCTTTTTCCCAACATTTTATCACTTGTCTGTAGTGAGATATCACAGTCATTTAAAAAGTCAATGCAATGGCCTGCTACAGCTTTATCTGGGTGAGTTTTTTCAACAAAACTTTGCAGTTCTTCCCATACTTCACACATTTTCTTAATGAGGAAGGGACATCCTCTACTGCCTCTACTCACAACTATTTTCTTAGGTTGAACCTTACGACTGACTGACTTGGGACTCGTGGCATGTAATACAGTTACATGCATCTAGTCAAGCATAAGACTAAACTGGAAAAGGTTCAAAGGTTTGCCACCAGACTAGTACCCGAGCCGAGAGGTATGAGCTACAAGGAGAGACTACGGGAATTAAACCTCACTTCGTTGGAAGACAGAAGAGATAGGGGGGACATGATCACCACATTCAAGATACTCAAGGGAATCGACAGGGTTGATAAAGACAGGCTATTTAACACAAGGGACACACGCACTAGGGGACACAGGTGGAAACTGAGTGCTCAAATGAGCCACAGAGATATTAGAAAGAACTTTTTTAGTGTCAGAGTGGTTGACAAATGGAATACATTAGGAAGTGATGTGGTGGAGGCTGACTCCATACACAGTTTCAAGTGTAGATATGATAGAGCCCAATAGGCTCAGGAACCTGTACACCTGTTGATTGACGGTTGAGAGGCGGGACCAAAGAGCCAGAGCTCAACCCCCGCAAGCACAATTAGGTGAGTACAACTAGGTGAGTACAGTAATTGCGGGACCAAAGAGCCAGAGCTCAACCCCCGCAAGCACAATTAGGTGAGTACAACTAGGTGAGTACAGTAATTACTTTAATGTTCAAAAAACAAAAAGCACAAAAATAATGAAATTCTTTACAAAGAATTCAAGCACAGTCATCACTAAGCAAGTGGCTCTGGTAAACTGAAGCAGGGTTGCCCCTGGTGACCATGTGCTTCATAGTTCCATGATCAGGAACCATGTGCTCGGTCGACCCATACCTTTATATCAACAAAGTCACAAGTCGAGTCAAATTTTCTGACGAAATTGGGGTCGTAACTCAAAAAATTTGTAAATAGGGGCATTCATAAGTCGAGGTTCCACTGTATTATTATTTGCTCTTCTCCATCTTAGACTTGGTAGATTGAAGTCTCCAAGAAAGATAATATCTGGAACTGGATTTGTTAGCTTATTAAGGATGTTCTCTATTTTGTGCATCTCCTCTGTGAATTCCTCAACCGTTATATCTGGCAGTTTATATATTAAAATAATAATTAGGTTTATTTTTTTATCTTGATTCCAAGTACCTCTCCTACCTCATTGTTGAGTTTAGTAGCTCTGTATATACCAGATCCTCTTTAATATACAGACGTACTCCTCCATTTGACCTAGTTTCTCTATCGCATCTAAATAAATTATAATTTGTAATCCAGCTTTCACAATCCATGTAATCTTTCATGAGAGTTTCCATGATCGCCTCAAATATTGAGTTCGACTCTACTAAAGGCTATTTATGAACTTAACTTTATTTGTTGATTTTGACTTCAAGCCTTGTATGTTGGCAAATAAATACTGCAAATAGAAATACTGTTGTCAGTGGTGCAGAATGTCAACTTACCTGGTCTCTCCACAGTCCAGTCTATGGGAATAAAGGATTTTGTCAAAGGTACCAACAGTGTATCCTGTTCAATGAGTAGCTTTTCATACACACTCAAAGCCAAATTGTTATAATATGCATTACTGATTATTCATCTCATAATACAGCGAATACAGTATGGCATACTTTAAGGTTATAGTAGTGTTGTATTCTAAAGCTGGAATAATGAAGCAAGGATGTAAAGTGGTTGCATAACAATAAATGATTTATCATTTTCACTATCAAGTTTTTAGAGTTTTGCATAGTTTTAAACATAGAATTAACACTGGTAACTAATTTATCATTAAATTATTTTTAAATGTATGTACTATATCTACATACTGTAGAAAAGGTTAAATATGTATTACATTATTTAGTGCATATGTACAGGTATTATCTTTTTATTGACATACACCTTCATAGCAGTGAGGAAAATGTTTGCTTAACCTTATTATAAATAATAATAATTTTTTTTTTCTGCCATGGTTATCTTCGTGAAATGTACTGGGAATTTTTGGGCTTTGCAGTTGGGTAGCAGCCAGTCAAAAGCTGAGAGGTTAGGCCTGCGAGGTATGTAGTTTGTGGGTGTAGTGTTGTTGGCACTGAATCGGTTTCTGGAGGCACTTACTATGTGGTATAAGTCTTGAATAATTTATTTACTTGTCCCTTAAAGCTTCTTATTGGTCTGGGTAATATATTAATGCTGGCATTTTATAACCTTTTTTGGATAACATTAATTTTATACTGCAAAATTCTCTTCTTTGACGTTGTTTTGAGTTACGCAATATGTCCGCATAAATAGTACTGCTTTTGGAGTTTATACAATTTCTTTGTTTTTATCTATTTATTTTTAATTTATTTTTTGAACTAAGCTTTCCTCTTTCAGTTTTCTCCATGAAACTAACGTTTGATTTGTAAACTGATAATTAGTGAAAAGTAGGTTGTAGCATTGTAGAATGAAATTTTCACAAAACATATGTAGCTTTATATTGTGTTGTAATGATAAAATATATAATTATTTAGATTTTCTTTTCATTGTGTGCATAAATCTTCAAACATAATTCATCTCATTTCATATTCTGATAATTTTATAATGACAAAGTTTACTTATGTGCTACTAACTGTATTGCAGAGTCCAAAGCATGTGGTCATGCGAGTAGATCCGTCAACTTGAATCTAGTGAAGAAATCTCTTAAGCAAGGCCAGGTGATTGGTGAATGTATACTGTGTCGCAAGGGACACCAAACACAGTTACAAGATCAAACTAATCATGTCTTGGTAAGTAGTATCATTCTATATTGAAGATAAATAAAGGTTTGTAATACAGACTTCTATTTATGAAGATACCAATTACAATGCACAATAAAATTGTATTAAATTAAGTAAAGGCTTACCTGGAGCATACCTGGAGAGGGTTTTGGAGTTGTTCTTCTCCCCGTGCCCAGCCTGGGGCCAGGCTCAAATTATGATAACTTGATCCAACAGACTGTTGCTTGGAGCAACAAATAAGCCTACATATTCACTACAATTCGGTTGGTCCAGTATTTCTTGCAAAGAACTTGTCCAAGTGTATCTTGAAGACATCCACCTTTGTTCCTGCAATAATTCTAAACAGAGCTGTAGAGACAGCTCTGTCCTGCACCTCGGCTTCTGCTGGGCACGCATCTCTAGACGTACTTCCCTAGCAATGCTCCTGGTTTATTACTTCCCTCAGCTGTTCTGTGCCACTGTTGTGTCTCCACTCTGCAGGTGAGATTGTGCGGTCTGGCGATGCTGTTGGCCGGGCACTGGTTCTCGATTTTGGTGGGGTGTGGTTGTTGTGTGTTTTGCTTGGCCACTTTGCGTGAGTCTTGCCATGGCTTTCCTTTGGTCAGTGTACTGTGGGACGCAACCTCGGTCTACGGTGCCTTTTGTTTAGTCTTTCGGCACCTGAATCTTTTCTCTGTATTCATTGTGCTTTTTCCCTATCAGTTTTTTCCTCACCTGGTTGTCCTCCCCTAGTTCTGCTTGCGGGGGTTGAGCTCTGGCTCCTTAGTCCCGCTTCTCAGCTGTTGTTCAACTGGTGTACCGATTCCTGAGCCTTTTTGTCTCTTTCATCTCTCCCTTTGGAGTTGTGTCTGGTGTTTGCCTCCGCCACACCGCTGGCTACTGCCTTCCATCTGTTACCTGCTCTGACACTGACAGGATTCTTACTACTATCCCTGTGGCTCTTTGGGTACTCAGCTTCCATCTGTGTCCCCTTCTTTGCGTACAGCCCTCCCAGCAAGCATAAGAAATATTGCCGGAACAACCGTGGACATCTTCAAGAGGAAACTAGATTGTTTCCTCCAAGGAGTGCCGGACCAACCCGGCTGTGGTGGGTATGTGGGCTTGCGGGCCGCTCCAAGCAACAGCCTAGTGGACCAAACTCACAAGTCGAGCCTGGCCTCGGGCCGGGCTTGGGGAGTAGAAGAACTTCCAGAACCCCATCAACCAACCAGCCTGTGTTTACCAGTTTATCATTCTCTACCCTTTCATTTCCTCTGAGAATTTTGTTGGTTGTGTTCTTGTCTCCCCTTCCTCTTCTGCCTTCATGTCGTGTGTTGCATTCCCGCAGCCTGTCCTCGTAACTTGTGCCTCTTCGCTCTGGGACTAGCCTCGGGGCTTGCCTCTACATTTTTCCAAACGCGGTACGGGCTCCATGCTGGAGCCGCATACTCCGGGTTTGGTCTTTTGTATGTGGTATACGAGGTGCTTGCAATGCCTGCGGGTGGGTGTTGCTTCAGTTCGCCCACTCCTGCCCCTAAGATTCCTTTTTGTTGGGACGGGTGGAGCTAGGTTTATGATCCTGGCTCCTGTTTTCTATTCCTTTCGGGGACGTTCTTTTGTTTTTGTGTGGTTCACGTCATGGGTAGTTCTCGTCATATCTACCTCGGTGACACGTGCGTCCTTCCCTGCTTGGACTGCTTGCGCTGCTCCTGCGGGTTGCAGGGTTGCTGTTCTCGCTTCGCGTTTCGGTTCATGGTCCTTGTTTCCTTGTTGTCCTCTTCCTGTGCCTTGGTTCGTTCTTCCCCTCGAGTCTTCGCGTCTCGAGTTTTTTTGTCGGGTTCTCGTCCCTTGTGTGGGCGTTGGTGGCTTTGTTGTTGGTCTCCCGCCTGCGTGCTTCGTCTCGGTGGCAGTTGATAGTTCCTGGCGGTCCTTCCAGTTTTCCTATCACTGTGTGGGTGTACTGTGGTCTCTGATAGGGTTGTCTTATGGGGTTGTTCCAGGACTGTCAATTGGTGTCGAGTGCTGTCGCCTCGTCTCGGGCAGCACTGGCGGGTCTGCTCCCGCTTGTGTTCGGTCTTGCTGTTCCTTCTGCTCCGTGTCGCTAGCTGTTTGGTTTGTTTCACCTCCGGCCGGCTTATGCACTTCCGGTGCTGTCCCTAGTCGTTGGTCAGGGGGGGGGGGTTCTCATCTCCTCGGTTATCGTGGTCCCTTCGGTTCTGGTATGTTTTTCTGCTACTTTGGTCCTGGTGATAGGTTGTTCTTATGCTGCAGTCCTCTTCTTTTCAGGTGACATTTAGGTCTGCTGTTTCCCGTTGGGGCACCTTGGGTTGCAACTTGGTTGGATGGGTCGGGGTGCTTCATGTGTTGTTTGGGTGCAGCTCTTCGCTGTTTTCTGCTCGTCGTGGCCTCTGGGGCCGTGAGCGTGTTTTGATTTGCCTGGGATCACTTCCTTCTTTCCTGTTCGGGGGTTAGGGTCTCCCGGGTCATCTGCAGGGTCCTTTGGTTTGGCCTGTGTTTTTTTTTTTTTTTTTGGTTTGGGTGCGTTGCGTCCGCCTCCCGGTTCCTTCCCTCTTTTTCCATATCTCTAGTGAGGTAGCTCCGGGGAGCCATAGGGTCCCCCCCCCCCCAGAAAACCAGCCTTGAATGTAATAAAATGCCATTTTCTGGGTGAGTCCCGGAGGCTCCCCGGTATCCCTCCCTCCCTCCGGTCGACGGTGTTTTTCACGTATTTTGACATCCAGCCTAAAAACTGCCAGTTGGATAGCCAGCACGGAGGGTCTGGGGCTCCCCCTCCCGGGGAGGGGGGTGGGTGGGTGGGTTGCGAAGACGGCAGCATGGCGACGTGATGACGTCATGCTAGTTTGCTATTTTTGTTTAGGGAGTTCTGTCCACTTGTTCGGCTTTTGGTAGCAATCTTTTCTCCAGAATAGGGGTTTGTTTTGGGGTGCCTACCTTTCTGGGTGCCTGTCCTGGTCGATGGCACACATAGAATGCTCCCAACCTCAAGGGGTTTCTATAGGCCATTGCTTCTCGTGCCTATCTGATGGGGGGGGGCCAGGTTCTGGCTCGTGGTCCTCGGTAGTTAAGAACTCCATATACCTTGACTGATGCCAGAAAGTTATACATATTCATTCAGCCTGGATAACTCCGGGGAGCCTCTGGGACTCACCCAGAAAATGGCGTTTCATTACATTCAACACTGTTTTGTTTTACATTTTTAAGCGACGCTGTGGTCACAAGCTGAACAGCAATGCTATTAGCTCATGCTGGGTGCACCAGCTTTGGTTGCTCAGTCAGTACTGATGCTCTTGCACCCGGGAATGTTACCCACTATTATTTTTTAAAATTGCGTCTGTTTACAAGAGCCCTGTGGAAGCTGATTTGAAGCCCATGTAGCTGCTGGACTTCTAAATGTTGCATGGTACTCCAATACATCAATAGCTATGGTGTGCAATTCTGTGACAGTTACTCACCGCAGCTATTGATGTGTTGTGCAATTTAAGGGTTAATAGGCATTTAGATAAGTTCTTGCAAGAAGTGTCGGACCAACCAGACTGTAGTGCATGTGTGGGCCTGCGGGCCACTCCAAGCAACAGCCTGTTGGACCAAGTTATCACAAGTCGGGCCTGGCCTCAGGCCAAGCTCGGGGAGTAGAAGAACTCTCAAAACCCTTTCCAGGTATGCTTCAGGTATGAGCCCTGGACCCCCTCCCATCCTAAATGGGTGGGGAGGGGGGGGGGGAATGAATGAGCACATGCATGTTTCGAGAGATTCATTCATTTGTTTACATTGTTGGGTGAGTTTATTCAGTGGGTTGTAAGGCTTCAGTTTTTTTTAATCCAGCAGTAGTATGTATTAGTTTGCTGATATTATTAATGATGCCATTCCTGGTGAGGTGGAGGAGTGACACCAGCTACCCGTGCCTTTGTGAGGGGACAGCTCGGGTTTGGCTCGTCTCCAGTAGGCTTAACTGAACTTCATGCTTGGTGTGATCTAATAGTTGGAAGTCATTTCAGCAGGATAGCTCAGGGAGTCACTGGGATTGCCCAGAAATTGGCTTCTCATTACATTCAGTGCAGGGTTTTCATGAACGACACAAACCTAGTATTTACACTGATTGGCCACTTGAAGCCCTTCACCATTTGATCACTTGAAGCCCTTCACCATTTGATCACTTGAAGCCCTTCACCATTAGATCACTTCAAGCCCTTCACCATTTGATCACTTCAAGCCCTTCACCATTTGATCACTTGAAGCCCTTCACCATTTGATCACTTGAAGCCCTTCACCATTAGATCACTTCAAGCCCTTCACCATTTGATCACTTCAAGCCCTTCACCATTTGATCACTTCAAGCCCTTCACCATTTGATCACTTCAAGCCCTTCACCATTTGATCACTTCAAGCCCTTCACCATTAGATCACTTCAAGCCCTTCACCATTTGATCACTTGAAGCCCTTCACCATTAGATCACTTCAAGCCCTTCACCATTTGATCACTTCAAGCCCTTCACCATTTGATCACTTCAAGCCCTTCACCATTTGATCACTTGAAGCCCTTCACCATTAGATCACTTCAAGCCCTTCACCATTTGATCACTTCAAGCCCTTCACCATTTGATCACTTCAAGCCCTTCACCATTTGATCACTTGAAGCCCTTCACCATTTGATCACTTGAAGCCCTTCACCATTTGATCACTTCAAGCCCTTCACCATTTGATCACTTCAAGCCCTTCACCATTTGATCACTTCAAGCCCTTCATCATTAACTTATATTTCACAAACCTTCTGCTTCACTATAACTAATTATATCGTCGTTAACTATTAAATCTTCTCTCACGCGCGCAATAAAAATTTTAGATACTGTGTGATACAATAGTCTTAGAAGTCTATAAATTATCTGTATTATGTGCATATATAAAATTTGACATGCTCCCATTATTCATATTAGGGCTATGTACTAGGTTTACACCTCTCTAACATTCCTACCTAGACCTCCCTCATTAGGCTGTTTATGTATATATTGAAGATAGAGACTGATATAACACAACTCTGATATTCACATACTGTACATTAAAATCAAATCAAACCATTAACACATTTCATTAAATAAGTTCACTAGTACAAATATAAAATTACCCTGGTAAACATTTGAATGAAAAAGATTAGCAAGGCTTGCTCTCCAATTTACAGTTAACTATAAGTGTAATATGTAGCACCATCTGAATGTCTTAAGACTCAAAATAGTTCATGTATAGTCTAAATATGTGTCTCTCAAATGTTTTGCAATGTTGCATATTCTGTAGACCAGGAGCATGCCAGCCAATTTTCAAAAGGGAAAATCTGCATTGTCTAAAATGAATGTACCAGTATATAATGTCCTGTTGATTGTAATAAGAATACCTGTACATGTGAAAATAGTGGTGACCAAAATGTTCTGAAAATATTGTACTGAGGAAAGTTTGCAGCATTTGACTCTAATTGATGACCTTTTCTCTCAGAGTTAAAAAATACAGCTGAATCATTTATTTCACTTTTACGTTGTGTTTTTTGTGTTTTGCAGGATTCCTATGAACCAGTAATTTGGTTGTGCCTTTATTGTGGCCATCAAGGCTGTGATCGCAACACAAAAGAGCAGCACGCTCTTCTCCATTATAGAACTCCCCGTTCTGACCCTCACTGCCTCATACTTAATACTCAGGCCTGGAATGTATGGTGAGTAAGTTTATTTTTTATACTGAGAATTCCATAGGTGACCTGTTACAAAAATAGTGTTTTCTGTGGGGAGCCTTGTTGGTACCCTGAAGCTATCCAAACTGACATGTGCCATATTAGTTTGGTGTCATCAGTCCCGGGAGTTCTAGTGCCTACCTGGGGCCATGACCCAGAATCTCGCCCCCCTCAGAGAGGGGCAGGTTCTGGGTGCAGGCCATATAAGCACTCTACATTTAGAGTATGTTATGTCTGCCATCGACCAGAAAGGTTGGTGAAACAATACAAGTCCTCTACTGGTGAAAATTGCAACCTACGTTCGAACAGAGCCAAAGAACTCTCCTCAAAAGAAAACAAACAAACAAACAAGCAACTTTGAGGTTCGATGCCTTGGCGCATTCCCCTTCCCTTGTTCGATGTGTTCACGGGCACCTCATCTCTCGCCTGGGGTTTTGTGACCTGCGGTCACCAGGCTGGTCAGGGGTGTTGGGCTCCGTTCTTTCGTTTGGCTCACAGCAGGGTGTACTCATCTAGTTGTGTGAGTACACCCTGGTTCCTGACCAGCTTGTGTGTTCACGCTGGTCAGGGGTGTTGGGCTCTGTTCTTCCGTTCGGCTCACAGCAGGGTGTGGGAGTTGGCGGCTGTGTAGCAGGCGCTGGGGTGGATTTGGTTGCCTTGAGGCTCAGTGATTCGGCGGCATTTGGACTGCTCTCCTGTATTTCATTGTGTCAACCGGGAGGGGGGGAGGAGTCTGTGGCTCTTTGGGGCTGATCGCTTCGGTTAGCTCTTCTGCTGAGTTCTCGGGATTTAGCTCTCCAATTCTCTTCCTCATCCATTTCAATTCTACATCAGCAGATGTTACAAACTCCCAGGCTCCCAGGTACCTATTTACTGCTAGGTAACAGGGTTATCAGGGGTTACCTTACCTTGAGGTTACCTTGAGGTGCTTCCGGGGCTTAGTGTCCCCGCGGCCCGGTCGTCGACCAGGCCTCCTCGTTGCTGGACTGATCAACCAGGATGTTAGACGCTGCTGCTCGCAGCCTGACGTATGAGTCACAGACTGGTTGTTACAGCCCTCTCGGGACGCAACGGGGTTCTTACTCTGATGTTGTTAGAGGAAGTTATATCCGACCCCAAGCCAGTAGTGGCTTTCAAGGGATGTGATCCGTGACGCAAGTAACTTAAAGGGGGTAGGGAAAGAAAGTTAAGAACTTAAGATTATAATTCACCATCACCAAATAAATAAATAAGATATAAAAGAGTGCACAAGGGGGAGGGGTATAAACACTTATTTTACAGGGGAAATACACTGTAGTCTTCTGCTGAAGACTATGGATCCTCGCTCTCGGTGCTAAATCCTCGGTGCTTCTTCGTGGCCTCACAACGAATCCTCTAGGAAGCTGAGCCTACCCTGGCCACAGGTCAGCCAAAACACAGGTCCACTGGGGGCACCGCCGTGGAGGCCGTCAACCACACGTCCAGCTGGTCTGCTGGCAGGTTCCGGATCAGCAAGGCTGGTCAGGCCACTCCACGAACGATATAAGGGGAACGCCCTAGACAGGAGCCTCGTGTGACACCACAAATCACTCTCCTGTCCTCAATACCCCAGTGGATGATCGTCTCCAACAGTCGGTCCCGGGTAATCCTTTTACTGCCACTCCACTGGCAGGGTAACACACCACAGTGTTCTTCCGGGGGGACGACTTCACAACTGCTGCAGCAAAGTACAAGGTATGGAGACGGCTGCCTCGGGTAGACTGACTCAACTTCCATCACAGCAGTCCCAGGTCGACTCTGTAAGCAGACACGTCATCAATAACTGGGACACTAAAACACCTCACTTACAGGCTCAGACACAAACGCCCGACACATCCACTTCATAGATGGCGTTGTAGTCTGAGCATCACCTCACCAGAGGTCAGCAGCGGCTGTGTTGAGCGCTGAACCGGACTGGAAACTGGCCCTCGAGGCCAGTACACGCCGTCCTCACCAGGTGTCGTCGTCCGTTTGGAGGGGGTTTCGGGAGCCGACCCACAGATGGCGCGGTCGTCACTGCTCCGGGCTTGGACGTTGGATCCGGGTTCGTAACACTGGTTGATCAGGTATCCTTTGGAGGTGCTTATCCAGTTCTCTCTTGAACACTGTGAGGGGTCGGCCAGTTATGCCCCTTATGTGTAGTGGAAGCGTATTGAACAGTCTCGGGCCTTTGATGTAGATAGAGTTCTCTCTCAGAGTACCTGTTGCATGTCTGCTTTTCAATGGGGTAATTCTGCACATCCTGTTCCAATAGTTTAGATGTTTTACTGAGTGGATTTTAGCAGTAAAGGATCTCTGCATGCTCTCCAGGTCAGCAATTTCTCCAACTTTCAAAGGGGCTGTCATTGTGTAGCAGTATTCCACTCTAGAGAGCACTAGCGTCTTGAAAAGTATCATCATCGTTATCGCATCTCTAGTGTGAAAAGTTTTTGTTATCCAACCTGTCATTTTGCTTGCAGTTGTGACGGCTACTTTATTGTGTTCTCTGAAAGTAAGGTCTTCCAACATGAGTACACCCAAAAACTTTTCATTGCCTTTTCATTCTATGTTATGATTTGACTGCATTTTGTACGTGGTTTCCATTTTAATATTTTTATTTTTTCCGTAGCGCATGAGCTGAAACTTATCTTCGTTAAACACCATATTATTTTCTTTAGCCCATAGAAAGACCTGATTTACATCTGATTGGAGGTTTGCCGTGTCGTCTATGTTGTCTACTCTCATAAAAATCCTAGTGTCATCTGCAAAGGATGATACAGTACTATATAGGTTGTGTCCTTGTCTATGTCCGATATGAGAATGAGAAAAAGTACTGGTGCAAGCACAGTACCCTGGGGGACTGAGCTCTTCACGGTTGATGGACCGGATTTGATTTTGTTGACTATTACACATTGGGTTCTATTAGTCTGGAAATTGTAGATCCATCTGCCTATTTTTCTGGTAATTCCTTTTGAACGCATTTTATGTGCAATAACACCATGGTCACATTTGTCGAAGGCTTTTGCGAAATCTGTGTAAATTACATCAGAGTTTTGTCTATCTTCCATGACATCTAGTGCCATGTCATAGTGGTCCAGCAACTGTGATAGGCAAGAGTACCTTGTTCTGAAACCATGTTGTCCAGGGTTATAGAGATGCTGTAATTCTATGTATTTTGCATAATTAAAATCAACCCACCTTGCCCTCCCCCTCCCCCCCCTGTCTGGGGAGGGGGAGGGGGAACTAACAAGTGGGTGCGCTAGTTGGATGGTGATTTGCTTATTACATTGTTTTCTCTTGGGAGGACTTCTTTGGCTCTGTTCAGACATAGGTTACAATTTTAACCTTTCTGGGTGCCTTCTCTGGTCGATGGCAGACATGACACCCTCTAAATGTAGAGCTCATATGGCCATTGCTCCCTGCGCCTCTCTGAGGGGGGCCAGGTTCTGGCTCGTGGCCCCCCTGTTAGGCACTCGAACTCCAGGGTCTGATGGCTCCAAACTAATATGGCATATGTCAGTTTGTGATAGCTTCAGGGAGCCTTGAGGGCTCGCCCAGAAAATGGGCGAGCCCGAGAAAATTTTATTACATTCAATGCTCTTTTTTTTCAGTCAAGAGTTGTTAACAAATGAAATGTACTACAAAATTATGTAGTGACAGCAGACTCAATGCACTATTCAAATGTAGATTTGCTTTGTGTATTGAGTCGAGGCAGATTCAATACTCTATTCAAATGTAGATTTGATAGAGCTCAATAGCTCAGGACCAAAATAGATGCAGGACCAGAGAGCTTTGCTCAGTGCTCACAAAATATAATTAGTGAGAGAATCCTAGTAAGTATAAGTGGTATGGTTTTCAAGACCTAGTTTAGTAACTTTCTGAATATTTTTATCAGTGTCTGCTTATTCTTTCTTCACTTTTATTTATTTTTCCTGCTTAACCCATTAGCTGCACAGCCTATAAATATGACACCCCTCCTCAGTGCGCAAGAAATAAATTCTCGGGAAAAAATTCTTTTTTGTTCTGAAAGTGTCAAAAAACCCCTCCCTGTATATGGGTATAGCAATGGAATTTCGAAATTGTACTTTGGCTGCTATGGGGTCCGTAAGGTGGCGCGTGACGTCATCATTCCCCGTGTGCCTGTGCCGTAAGCTCCCGGGGCCGGTGGGGCGCCTGGGGCGGGGAGTGCGAGTTGCAGCGAATATATTTTTGTACATTTTTTTGCACACATTTCCAAATACAATTTATTACATTTTACGTGCCGAACCAATGTATGGTGAACACGTACACTATATTATGGCAGTAGAACATCCGTACTGTCCGTAGACACTGTGTTACATGCATGACACTTGTGTACACATATGTTGCACATATTTACCATGTATCATGCTAATTTATGTATATGTACAATCTATTTACAGACTATACACTGTCACACACTATATACATTCACCATCAACACATTCAGAACACCGCAAGTGTGAGCAGCCACACCCAGCCAGCCCTCCCTCACTCCTCCAACATTGTATTCACCATCATTGCTCCTCCCATCATACAGTTATTCACACCAATGTTTCATGTTCATTTATGTATATTTACAACATATATATACAGACTATACACTGTCACACACTATATACATTCACCATCAACACATTCAGAACACTGCGAGTGTGAGCTGTCACACCCAGCCAGCCCTCCCTCACTCCTCCAACATTGTATTCACCATCATTGCTCCTCCCATCATACAGTTATTCACACCAATGTTTCATGTTCATTTATGTATATTTACAACATATGTACACAGTATACACTGTCACACACTATACACATTCACCATCAACACATTCAGGACATTGCGAGAGTGAGCAGCCACACCCAGACAGGCCCTCCCTCACTTCAACATCTTACTCGCCAACATTGCTCCTCCCACCATACTGTTATTGTTTTTATTACACTATTTACACATGTTATATATACCTATCTAC